TGTATGTTTCACATTTAATGTATAGGGCTGTCCATTTGTCACCTAAATACAAGTCCTCTATACTCTCAGGCTTAAAGTGTAACATTCGAGTTTCTGTGATTCTATTATTGGTTGTAGGCTGGGTTCGGGGTTAGGATATTGAGGGAAGCTCGGCAGAAATTGAGGGGTGAAGGGGTCTCCCTGAAACCTCCAATCCAGGAAAGCGGCACAGCGGCCCGGTTCTCAGGGGGCGGGGCGGGGCGGTCGGGGAGTGGGGTGGGCGCTGGGGCTGCTTCCCCGGTGCAGGTGGAGGACATTGAGACGGTGCCCTTGGGGCCGTTTGACAGGATGGAGCCTGGAGTTGGGTCTTGGTCAGCCAGAGCCTGGGTGGGGTGTGGTCAAACCCCCAGAGGTTGGGGTGCGGGGGGGGGCGGGGTGAGATGGCAGAGGGCAGGAAAACGTCTAGGCTTAGGCTGTTGTTGTTTTTATTTTGGGGGGGTGTGTGTCCCTGTGTTTATCTGTAAAATGAAAAGACTAGAGCAGTGGTTCTCAACCTTCCTAATGCCGCGACCCTTTAATACAGTTCCTCATGGTGTGGTGACCCCCAACCATACAATTATTTTCGTTGCTACTTCATAACTGTAATTTTGCTACTGTTATGTATGAATCGTCATGTAAATATCTGATATGCAGGATGTATTTTCATTGTTACAAATTGAACATAATTAAAGCATAGTGATTAAGCACAAAAACAATATGTGTTTTCCGATGGTCTTAGGCGACCCCTGTGAAAGGGTCGTTCGACCCCCCAAGTGGCCGCGACCCACAGGTTGAGAACCGCTGGACTAGAGGGTGTTAGTCTCCTTTCAACTCCAAGGTTCTGTGACTCTGTAATCTGTTTTGGACTTAAGTTTCTTTTATTTAAATGTTTCTTTATTAAAATTGTTATCAATGGTTTGTCAGCATGTGGGACCGTGTGCTGGGTGCTGAGGAGAGAGAAATAGTCTCTGTGTTAAGATGTTTACAGTCTTGTGGAGACAGACAAAATATTACTGTACCATGTGGATGGTGCTGGGCTGGGTGGATGCACAGGTCAAACAGAGAAGGGCCCCTAACTGAGCCTGACAAACCCAAAAGGCTTCCTGGTCACAGTGATCCCTGATCCGGGCTGGGCAGGGAAGGGTTGGGCAACAGTATTCCGGGACTGGTCACCGGCATGCTACGACATGGCCGGGTCAGGGGCCGCAGAGAGGGCCAGCGGGGCAGGTGGAGCCTCAGGCAGTGAGCAGAGGTGAGCAGAGGCCAATTTTAAATGGTCTCGCCAAGAAATTTTTAGCTGAACCCGAAGGTGTTGAGGACCCATTGAAGTATTTTGAGCAAAGTAGAAACATGTCCCAGTTGTAACATGGCTTTGAGTGCTGGGTGGTAGGTGGGTTGGAGGGGCAGGATAAGCTATAAAACAGGCACGGTGTCCAGGAGAGAAGTGGTGAGGCCTGAACCAAGGCCGTGGCAGGAGGAGGTCTGAAGTCTTAAAAATAGCAGTGGTACCACTTATGACCCCTGTGTTGTGGGCGTTTGTGCTCTGTGGTAGCGAAGGTGGCGCCTTTTTGAGAGGCCTGATGAAGACCCACTGTCCTCTCTGGGGAAGCAAGGGAGGTCTGGGGTCAAGTGCAGAACATGGTGGAGGTGGTCAGGCCCATGCCCCGGCCCCTGGAGAGAGGTCAGCTGAGGAACCCAAGGTTTCCTCGGGCCGAGTGGCCTGGAGGGGAGAGCGGGTGAGGGTGTGCAGGGGGAGACCTGCCGTCTAACTCTGTTTGAGTCAGAGTGTCAGCTCTGGGCCTCGCTCTCCTCATCTTACAAGAGGGAAGCACTTCCTACTTTTCCCAAGCGCCTTCAAATGCAGCAAACACCAGAAAAGGATTTATAGGTGAAAATGACGCTTGTTCAGTGTTGTGAGCAGTTGGTTTTGTCCCTGCTCTTCAGATGGGGGTCCCAGGCCCTGGCAGGCTCCTAAGTCCTGGACTTGGGGTGGAGGAACATGGGTGTTGCTCTCTCTTTTAAAAGGACACTGGGGTGGGGATGCCATGGGTGTGGGGCAGGTGTGGGGGCATGGAGGTGGGGGTGGGACAGTCACAGCAAAGATGTGCATGTAAGGCAGGTAGAGGAAGAAGTCCTGCAAGGAGGTGCCACCGGTGTGGGCCTGGGGTTCAATCAGGGACCTCCAGGAAGTGGAGAGGCCTGGGGAACTGGCTGCCCAGGCTGTCTGTGGACTTGGGTTCCCAAGGAAGGCTGGCGGGTGCAAACTGAGGTCACTAAAATGGGTTCTCCCTACTGGGGAAACCCCGTGATACAGTCCTTACAGGGCCGGGAGTGTGTGGCGGGAGATGTGGCCACTGCACTGACCTAAAAAGAAGTCATCTCGTACCTTGTGAACATTTTTCAGTCTTTTCAGCTGTTCCTTCCATTTGATATAACAATTCTATACATTAGGAACAAGCATCATTTGCATTTGCAGATGGGGAAACTGTGGCCCAGAGAAGAAAAGCAGTTGGCCTTGGGTCACATGGCTAATCAGAAGCCAACCCCAGTCCGGCTGGTATGGCTCAGTTGGTTGCTGTCCCATGCACCAGGAGGTCTCCAGTTCGTTTCCTGGTCAGGGCACATGCCCAGGTCGCAAGCTTGATCCCCAGTAGGGGACGTGCAGAGGCAGCCGATCGAAGTTTCTCTCTCGACAATGTTTCTATCTCCCCCTCCCTTCCTCTCTCTGAAATCAATAAAAACATATATATTTTTTAAAGAAGCAAACCCCATCCCAAGCTCTCAGCCCCCCCACCCCTCCACTGAGGAATCAGCCAGCAGAGAGTGGGCCAGCCAGACTAGGCAGAGGGTAGGAGGCTGGTTAGAGTGGGCGAGGCACGGAGGGCCAGGTGGGGTTAAACCAGCTGAGGGCTGGGAGAGATGTGATTAAGAGAAAGTAGGGAAGCATGGACCAATGGGCAGAGGGAGGCCAGCTCGATGTGGTGGGGTACCTGGGGAAGGTTGTCCCCCGTCTGTTCCTTGCCTGCAGTTTCCTGTGGGGGCAGGATTGTTGGTATAAGTGAGCATGGCAGTGAGGACATGGGTGCAGCCCTGGGTCACGGCTCATGACTGAGCAGGGCCTAGGACAGTGGTTCTCAACCTTGGCTGCACATTAGAATCACCTGGGAATCCGGAGAATGGGGCCCAGAAATCAGGATTTTAAAAAAGATTCCCAGGTGATTCTAATGTGCAGCCAAGGTTGAGAACCACTGGCCTAGGAGCTGGGCCATCCCTCAAAGCCTCAGCTCCTGGTGCAGGGCATGTGGCCAGTCCCTGCTTTACTCGTGACAAAGGACACATGAGGCGCGATCCACTTCTCTCCAGCAGGGGCCTGAGTCTGTGCAGAGAGATGTGCGTGGCTGGTGGGAAAGTTCCAAGGGCCTGAGCGTGGGCGGATGTGGGAGACCTGGACCTGTCCCTGCACTGTGGCCCTTCTCCTCTCCCAGCTGCTGTCCGCCCCTTCCCGCCCCCAAGTTTCTGCTGAGACCAAAGCTCCTTTGTTACCTTCCCCTGCCCCAGACCTCACCACCTGCCACAGGCCACAATCCCCGCTTTGTGTGGTCTGGCAGTTGTCATGGCAGCTGCCCCAGCTGAGGGGACTCACGTCCCAGCTGCAGCCCGACCCCACGTAGGGAGGGTTGGGCCTAGAGCCAGGGGCTGGGAAGGGGATGGTGCTCCGGGCCCTGCCCTGAGACCTGCTCTCCACAGAACTTGTTGGGCCGCCCGGGAAAGGTCATTGGAGTGTGGGGCCAGGGCCAAGCGGCCTTCATAGACTCAGTGGGCCCTGGTGGGGGTGGCGGACTGGCCCCATGGCCTCCTGTTTTCTGGCTGGGGCGCTTTGCTAGGCAGCCTGCTGGATGGGTTCCTGGGCATCTCTCAGGTCAACCGATGCGTCAGGCGGCGTGAGACTGTTGGGTGGCAGAATAAGAGAGAAGGATGGAAAAGGCACAGCTTGGGGGGAGGGGCAGGGTGCACCTGGTGACCTGGCCGACCTGGAAGGAAGTGGCCATGGGGAGGGACTTTCCCGGGTTTGGCTAGCTCAGGGTTTGTCTGCAGGACACCCACTTGCCTGTTTTCCAGATGTCCCACCTGAGCACACAGGTGGAGCTGGGCCCCCAAGACACGGCCTGCCTACCCCTATTCCTGTCCTCCGTGCTCCTCCTATCCCTGCCCTCTCATTCTTATTTCTTCCCCTGGGGCCCATGAGGGTCCACTTTCTTTCGTGTCCACTTCTGTCTTACTCTGACCACAAGCCCTAGTGAGCCCAGGGTTCCCAGGGATGAGGTAATTAATTCACTGTGAATTGTTCACTAAGAATTGAAGTCTTTCTGGCACCCAAGGCGATTTAAAAAAAAATACATATTTTTATTGATTTCAGAAAGGAAGGGAGAGGGAGAAAGATAGAAACATCAATGATGAGAGAGAATCATTAATCGGCTGCCTCCTGCACGCCCCCTACTGGGGACCGATCCGCAACCCGGGCATGCGCCCTTGATTGGAATCGAACCCGAGACGCTTCAGTCCCCAGGCTGACGCTCTATCCACTGAGGCGATTTTTAGGTCTTAATACCTCTTGGAAGACAGAATCAGTCAGGTAGGACTGATTTGATTAGGCTAAGGGGCCTCTTGTGTCGTGTTAGGGTTTTGTGAATAAGGCCAAGCCCCATCCTCTGTCCCCACACTGAAGTTGGCCCCTGCCCCCTGTCTGAGTTTCCCCACCTTTCATGGCCTCCCTATTCGCCAGTCCCCTGAGCCTCTTTAGGTGGACATTGGTGAGAGGCTTCCCCCGGCCGTGGGACACAGAGTGTATCAGGGCCCCCACGGTGGGCCTTTCCTCCCCTCTCCTCCGGGCTCCCCTTTCTCTGCCCCACAGGCAGATTTTGGTGTCTATAAACCACAGAAGGAGTACAGAGCACACCCTACTGGGGAAATAGAATTAAAAACAAAATCACCCGCCAACTCAGAAAATCTCGCAAAAGTAGGAGAGAAACAACAGGCTTGTTTTGTTATGTTTAATCCTTACCCAAGGATATTTTTTCCATTGATTTCTAGAGAGAGTGGATGGGAGCGAGGAGGGGGAGAAAGAGACAAAGAAACATCGATTGGTTGCAGGGGCTGGAGAACCTGCTGCCAAAGTACATGCTCTTGAGCAGGAAATCGAACCCTGGACTCTTCTATGTGCGGGATGACGCTCTAACCCAGTGGTTCTCAACCTTCCTAATGCCGCGACCCTTTAATACAGTTCCTCATGTTGTGGTGACCCCCAACCATAAAATTATTTTCGTTGCTGCTTCATAACTGTAATTTTGCTACTGTTATGAATCGTAAATATCTGATATGCAGGATGTATTTTCATTGTTATAAATTGAACATAATTAAAGCATAGTGATTAATCACAAAAACAATATGTAGTTATATATTCAATATTTGTTTTCCAATGGTCTTAGGTGACCCCTGTGAAAGGGTCGGTCGACCCCCAAAGGGGTCGCGACCCACAGGTTGAGAACCGCTGCTCTAACCACTGAGCAAACGGCTAGGGTCTTTGTTTTTATTATTGAATGATCATCACACCAGAATGAGATGCACATCACAGGAAGTCCACCAAGAGATTGCAAAGACAGAAAGAAATCTCACCTGTTACACAGCCCAGCAGGTGCAGTCTGTTACACACATGTTCTCCAGGTACACTGTCACTAGTCCTCCGGTGAGAGGGCTTGACCTCTGTCACACAGAGTTCATCCCAGATTCACCTGGGAACGGGGGTGTTTGTTCATTGCCTTTGTCCAGAGGAAAAACACACTTCTCATACCTTTGTGACAGGAGGTAGTTTTGCAGCTTGGAGCCAGGTGTCCACCCAGGTTAGGGTCCCAGCCTCCCATGGGGACAGGGAGACAGGGCGCTGTCTCTCTTGATATTTACATTTTAAAGAGATGGCTTCCAGGTCCCTGAGAGAGACAGTCGTGGGTTGTAAAGCTGGCAAGAGGCTTATTTTGCCTTTGAAATGATTTATGTACATCTCAAAGAGACAGAGGAAGAACCTGTGTTTAGAAGTTTTCTAAAGAAATGTTCTGAAGGAAAGGGGAGGGGTTTCTCCCTTTCTGCACGAGGGAAAAATGTTTTTTTCTGTATTTTAGCACTTGGAGTGCGGGAAACGAGTTAAGTCGGCTCGCGTGAATTGCGCGTACTCCGCGGGAGCCGTCTTTAACTCGGTTCATATAGATTTGCAGTGGAGTGCGGGAAACGTGTAAACTCGGGCCGATTGTAACTGCGTATTACCAAATATTTGTTTGTAATCCACCCTTTTGGTGGATGGAACAAAACCAAAAGACAGAGCCATCTTATATTTTGGCGGGAAATTCACCCGCACTCCAAGTGTTAGATTCATATTTACCCTTATCTCCCCCACCTCCACCCCCACCCCACTTCTCTTGGCAGGGTCCAGATTCCCAGCCTGGGAAGGGGACCTGGGAGAGAAGAGGGGGACCCTTAGGATGGGGGGCCTCGGGGGCTCTCGAGGGCCCCAGGTAGGGAGCAAGATAAGACAGGGTTTCTTGTGAGGGCGGCTGGACTGAGGTGCCCTGGAGGAAGCTCCAGCTGATGGCCAGGAAAGCCCCCTGCTGGAGCTGATCTGAGAGCCACAGGTCCTCAGTGGGGCTCTTTGGGAGTGTGGGGTCTACGGGGAAGCAGGCGTGTGAAGCCAGAATCCTGTCCGTAGCAGAGGCAGTCCCTGGTACCTGGTGGAGAGAATGAACCGCAGGCTGCCCACAGTCCACCTCTGAGCGCCACAGCGCTGCCAGGTGTTCTCTGGGTGGGGGCTCTGTCCCAGGTCCCGGGCCTTCCTCCGTGGGCACCAAGAGTTCCTGTCCTCCAGATGAAGGGGAATAGAGTAAATACCATGTCAGGTGGCAAAGTGTCATGGAGGAATGCGAGGTGGAGTTAGGCTTGTGACTTTACCCAGAGTGCCAGGGAAGGCCGCGCTGAGGAGGTGATCCCTAAACGAGGTGAGGGGGGCCATGCCAAGATCTGAGACAGAACACCCCATGCAGAGGGGCAGCCAGCGCAAAGCCCGAGGCTTCTGAGCAGCATGACCTGTCCCCCATCATGTTCCAGGCACGAGGAACCATCAGGAAATGTTCTGACAACTGGAGCATTAACCATCCAGGTGAGCCGTGGATTAGTGGACACGTAGCCCAGCTGGACTGTGCGTTCTTGCATGGAGTGCTCCTGGGGAGGGTTTGTGCTGGGACATGGACGGGGACTTAGAGAGAGGAGGGCCGTGGTTTCACAGGCACAGTTCTGCCTTCTCAGGTGTCTGCAAGATCTCTCAGGCCACTAACTCGTTTGAGTTTCTCCCCTGCAGCATCCTTCACACCCCGCCCTGCGATGTTGAGAGCCTAGACCTGAGGCTTTAGTCTGGGAGCTAGAAGGCCTGGGATCTTACCCTGCTCCACCATTCAGCACCTATGTGACTCGGGGCATGTCAGTGGCCCTCTCTGACCTCAGGTTCCTCTTCATAAGATGGGAATTATGCCTGTTTTACCTGCCTGGCAGGTATGTGTGCAATTTAAAAAATCCTGCACATTTCAGCCGAGGTCATGGACAGAAAAGCTCTTGAAAAAGAAGGAATGCATTCTGTGAGGTGGCACGAGGACTGGGAAAGCCTTTTGTCCTTGTCCCACAGGCCAACTCTGTTTCCTTTGCTCCCATCTCACGCACAGACCGAGTCGGGGCACCGTGCTGATGCCGTGGGTCCCCTGGGATGGAGAGCAGCCTGGCTGGTGCCAGCACAGGTAAGACAGAGAGGGAAAGGTGCGAGCCAATCATGGCTTCCTTCCCTGGCACGTCTTTCGTCTTCGTCTTCGTGTCCTTCCAAAGCTGCCCTCACTTAGAAGGTGTCGAATTGCAGGACGTTGAAGGTCTTCAAAGAATGGGACAAAGACAGATTACAGGAGCTAAGAAAATGACAAAGGGTGGTTCAAAACTTGCCAGGCAAGGGAACACACACACATGCACACACACACATACACACACACACACACGCACGCACAGACACTGGCATGCACACACACGTACTATTTTCTTTGTTAATTCCTCCCTCCTACTTCCTCTGGATTTATTTTCTTGTCTTCTATATTTTGGAACCTGTTGTTTACTGTAGCTTCTCTCTTGTTTGCAACTGTTTCATTTTACCTACTTTTAATTGAGTGTAAACTTTTTATTGAAGTGTAACACATAGAAAAGTGCATAGTTCAGGAGCTTTATAAATTCTTATGATGTGAACATTCCTATGATGTGAACACTCCCATGTGACCAGCACCCAGATCAAGAAAGAAGTTCCTCCTGCCCCCTTCCAAACAGTGCCTGTTATCCTGGCTTCTAACTCATCCATCAGTCCTGCCAGCTTTTGAACTTCATATAATGGAAACATACAGTCTGTATTCAGTGTCTGTAGCAGACCTTTTCCATCAGGCTGGTATCCATGAGCCAGAGGAACCAAGCGCCCCTGTAGCCTTGAGCAGCCCTGTGTGTGGGACTCGGGAGTAGAGCGGCCTAGGTTTAGTACAGAGACAAGGCTCACCTGTTTTGGTGCTGAGACCTTTCCGGCTGACTTTCTTGTTCTTGATTTTGTTGAAGAAAACTGATGTTGCAGACGGCCAAAGTCCCAGCAGGTGAGGTGCTCACACACCATGGCTGCCACCCTGGAGAGGGCCCGGCAGTGACATGGGCCACTGAGGGACCGGGCACAGACTCGCTTAGCAAACTCCCAGCACATGATCCTTTGGAAAAGAAGATGTTTGAACTTGGCCATGTTCTGCTTGCTCTCCAGGGAAATCTCACTGGATGGGTGTCTTTAACTGTCTGTGTCTCCTGGGCCTCAGGCAGAGCAGGGGGGCAGCTGGTGTGTCCTGGCACAGCAGCTTCACTTAGCTTTCCTCCTTTCTTTGTTGTTGTTAATCCTCAGCTGAGGATATTTTTTTCCATTGAGTTTTAGAGAGAGTGGAAGGGAGGGGAGAGGGGAAGAGAGAGAGAGAGGAGAGAGAAAGAGAGTGAGACATCAATATGAGAGAGACACATTGGTTGGTTCCCGGGGTAGGGATTGAACCTGCAACCCAGGTACCTGCCCTTAATCAGAATCGAACCTGTGACCCCATGGTGCACAGGCTGACGCTCTAACCACTGAGCAACCGGGCCAGGACCAGCTTTCCTGTTTTGCATCTTTCCCTTTGTCCTTCTCCAACCCCCAACCTGCCCCTGCCCTACTGCCCTTCCTTCCCCTACTGTCTCTCCTTTCCCCATTTCATCCTCTCCCCTTTCAGATCTCTTCCTTGTGCATTCTTCTGCCCTGTCTTATTTTCTGCTGTGCTCTGCCCTCCTGCTCTGCCCTCCAGGCAAGTCTTCCTCGGAGCTCAGAGCAGTGACTGACTCTCCCCGTCCTCTGTCCCTTTGCTTCTGGCAGGAGACCGGCTGGTGATGAAGATCAAGCCAGAGAAGCCAGAGTGGCTGCTGCAGACCCTGGCGCCGCCCGCCGCGCTTTCCAAGGACAAGGAAAACATTTTCCAGCAGCCCCTGGGCCTCCCACCACGCCAGGCTTTGGGGAAACCCCGATCCTTGGGGGGACAGGAGGAGACTGGGGGTCCCAGGTGGACCTCTCCCACTGAGCAGGATGCTGGGCTGGCAGGCCAGGTTCCGGGGGCAGCTCCCGGCCCCCTGAGCCCCGTTCTGTCTGCCAGCGAGGGCCATTTCGTGTGCCTGGACTGCGGGAAGAGGTTCAGCTGGTGGTCGTCCCTGAAGATCCACCAGCGCACCCACACCGGGGAGAAGCCTTACCTGTGCGGCAGCTGCGGCAAGAGCTTCAGCCAGAAGCCCAACCTGGCGCGCCACCAGCAGCAGCACACGGGCGAGCGGCCCTTCCGCTGCCCCGAGTGCGCCAGGCGCTTCAGCCAGAAGCAGCACCTGCTCAAACACCAGAAGACCCATTCGCGGCCCGCCACGTACTCGTGCCCCGAGTGCGAGCGCTGCTTCCGCCACCCGGTGGGCCTCCGCATCCACCAGCGCGCGCACGTCCGGGACCGCCAGGGCGCCCGCGCCCGGCTGTTGGAGCTGCTCCGGGAACCCGCGGCCTGCGGGGGCCGTCAACTGCGTCCGGGGCCGCC